GTAATCTAAAGTGGGAATGAATTTATGGGTTCAATGACAAATATTTATGTCCCAGTAAAAGATCTACTGATCCTGATTGCCCAAATAGAGATTTTAATTTCTGTCCATATTGGTCTTGTGTGGGGTGGGCAACCTGGGGTAAAACAGTAGACCAAGATATGATTATCTAAAGGTTGCCTACCACACCACATTGTTAATCTATGGAGTGTAATCCGGTCCATATGACCATTTCTTTTTTTTTTTTTTTATGTTTTAACATTATCAAAATACGTACAATACCTCAATGAGCATTACAAATATACAAATAAATATGTTTCCATTAAAGCAGATGTCTATAAAGTACTTTTTATGCACACAATAGTTTGTATAACTTTAAATACATACACATAAGAATCCATACATTACAGAGCTAAAATAAACCGCAATAGGGTTACAGTATCTATAAATTACATAGATAGCAGAATTGAGGTATCACCATACTCCATTCACACTGAAAGACACATACACTCCCGAGGAACCAGCATTTTTTTAACCTTTTATGCCTTTACTTTCCATATGGGTGCAACTTTCGCTGGTTTCTCTCCGGAATCAAACACACTGTGGGGTCATCTCAAACCTTCTATATTATAATCCTTCATTACAAGCCATAAACTTAAAAGAACAAGAAAGGAAATATTAGAAGTGGACAAAGCCCACATCAGAATTCCAGAGGGGTTACAGAGATATCAAGGGGCATGAACCCCACGAAATAGTTTAAAATAAAAGAAAAGGACTAGAGTGAAATGGTTGTTCCACTAAAGATGGAAAAGTTGGACATCCATTCCACAAAATGATATCTCTAGAATAATAGAATAATTATTATATATAACCTTTATTAAGCCGCCTACTGGCAAAACAAAAAATAATAAAGTGTAATAACAGTGGAAGATTTCACTTGAATATAACAAGTGAGATAAAAACTGGGTAGATGCAATGTGGATATCTTCAGACAGTAATGGAGTGGCTAGAGTCTCTTAAGCTAAGGTTTACAGTAAAGAGTACAATATAAAGTACAGTATATACTCAATCAAATATCACAAAGCCACTCCCTATATAGAGGTAAATCCACATAAGTTACCATAGACTCTAATATATTTTAAAGCATACAAATTAGAATTAAGTAGATAGTATCCATATATAGTAAATCTGTCATATAGAGTTTATCTAAATTGTTGCAAATAAAAGAGAGAGTCTAAAGGAAGGTTGAGAGAAAGTGTATATAAATATGTGCTACTTAGTTTTAGATTGAAAAAAAGCTGTATAGTCAATAACAGCATTTATATGTATGTATATATATATATATATATATATATATATATATATATATATACACACACACACTGTATGGTTACTAATATCCAGATGTACTCACTAGAACAAACTCCTATGGACACTATATACTGCTGTTTCGAGGCAGCCTAACGCTATAAGTGGCTAACTAAGCGGTCTAACAGATTGTACTAATACATTATAATCTATCTCCTAGTGCTGCCACTAGCTACTGCTGACAAGATAATATAAAGCTAAGTAATCGGAGTAAATGCTCAAGACCCTGAGCGGTGGGTGGGGGCCCTAATAATAATAAGGGGGGGACCTATTGTCCCCCCTAGCCCCCACCCCTGAGCGGTGGGTGGGGGCCCTAAAATGAACAATAAGGGGGGGACCTACTGTCCCCCCCGGCCCCCACGCCTGAGCGGTGGGTGGGGGCCCTAATAACAATAAGGGGGGGCCTATTGTCCCCCCCAACCCCCACCCCTGAGCGGTGGGTGGGGGCCCTAATAATAATAAGGGGGGGACCTATTGTCCCCCCTAGCCCCCACCTCTGAGCGGTGGGTGGGGGCCCTAAAATGAACAATAAGGGGGGGACCTATTGTCCCCCCGGCCCCCACCCCTGAGCGGTGGGTGGGGGCCCTAATAATAATAAGGGGGGGACCTATATTGATAATGGGGGGGGACCTACTGCCCCCCTGGCCCCCACCCCTGCGCGACGGGTGGGGGCCATATTGATAATGAGGGGGGACCTACTGCCCCCCCTGGCTCTCACCCCTGCGCGGCAGGTGGGGGCCATATTGATAATGGGGGGGGGAACCTACTGTCCACCCCCCCTCCGGCCCCCACCCCTGGTTGGCGGGTGGGGGCCATAAAGATACTGAGGGGGGGACCTACTGTCCTCCCCCCCCGGCCTCCACCCCTGGGCTGCGGGTGGGGGCCCTAAGTAAATTCCCCCCCCCCAAGGTGACTAGGGGTCCCCAAGCCCCTAGTCACCCACCCCCCCCCAATAAAAAGTCCCTTCCTACCCCCCTCACCCTAAAAAATAGTGAGGGGGGAATAAATTAACTAACCTGTAAAATAAAAGTAAACTTACCATTAGGCGTCTTCTTTTTTCTCAAATCTTCATTTTTCAGCCCCAAAAAGGCCAAATAAAAAACCATCATAACCGTCGAACTAAAAAAAAAAAAAAATCCGAGCGCAAAAAAAAAAACCAGACGAAAAAGAAAAAACTCGAGCACAAAAAAATAATCCATCTTCACCCATGGAGGGCTCAGCGCAGACTGAGCTCTGCAGGGCGGGGAAAGGCTTATAAAGCCTTGCCACGCCCTGCAATTAGGCTAAGAACACTCTGATTGGTGGGTTTAAGCCAGTCAGAGTGCTTTGTCATTTTACACAGCGTGGGAAAATTCCAAAGAACTTTCCCACGCTGTGTAAAATGACACAGAGCACTGTGATTGGATGGCTTGAAATCCATCCAATCACAGTGCTCTGTGTCATTTTACACAGCGTGGGAAAATTGACCTTTCCCACGCTGTGTAAAATGACACAGAGCACTGTGATTGGATGGCTTGAAATCACAGTGCTCTGTGTCATTTTACACAGCGTGGGAAAGTTCAATTTTCCCACGCTGTGTAAAATGACACAGAGCACTGTGATTGGATGGCTTGAAAGCCTCCCCCCCCATTAGTATTTAGGGGACCCTTTTTTTTTTAAACAGTGAGCAGCCACAGGCTGCTCACTGTTTAATAGACATGCCCCTACTCGCGGTATTGCGAGTAGGGGCACAATTTACTAATACTAAGTAATTTTTACTTAGTATTAGTAAATTAATAGGGGGCAGACCGAACATCGCATATGTTCGCCGTCCGTGGCGAACACGCTATGTTCGCCAGGAACTATTCGCCAGCAAACCGTTCGGGACATCACTAATTATAACTCTGGCTTCCTCGTCTGTTTCTTGATAGATTAGTTTAGCATCTATATCGTCACTTATCAGAATAGTCACCCCTCTCTTCCTCTGCCTCTCTAATGAGGCGGATACTGCTATTGAAAACCTTTGTGGGACAAATCTTAAGCTGTCCTCTCTTCTCCAATGCGTCTCTTGTAAAAAGATAATTTGGGCTTTTTCTCTCTTAATATAATCAAACAGAATCGCTCTCTTACAAGGAGAATTTAGGCCCTGAGAGTTTAATGATATAATTTTAACCATTACAGTTTTTCATCCTCGTGTCAATCGATTTAAAGAATTCTCCAAATTCATAATAGATTATGCATAATCTTGGTGGACTTGTTTTGTAAATTTCTTCTTGGTCTGAATTTGAGCCCCCGCCCCTAACACACAAAACCACACCAATCATACTCCATCCCCTCATATATGAGGGGCATTCATACCAACAACCCTGAGTCCTAAACTCCGGGTATTGATCCCAAAGGGGAAAAACCCCTAATTGGGATCTTGTCCTCATCAGGATAACTCCTAGATAATGAAAGAAGAAAGAGCTGAGCGGTGCCATCCCGTTTTATTAAATTATTCCTTCACCTTCTAAATTGCTACAGCAATATCCAGAAACCTCCCCACTACCAGCAAAGTGGCCAGAACCCTTTTACCCTTCAAATTTGAAATCCCCGACTGTAAATCAATCCTATAGAACCCTATAATCTCACAGTTCTTTAAAGTCCCATCCCATCTTTACCCTCAAACCTCACTTTAGGACTATTAATGGGGTTACTTCTTTTTACTACTAACTCTTTTTACCCATGTTATACAAATTTATCAATTTATACAAGTGTAATATATGTCAATTTCCATTGATTTTTTCTTTCTTTTTTTTTCTTTTCTTTTTTTCCCAAGTGCTACACAATTTTTTTTTGAAAACGGGTGCACTACCCTAATGAATTTAAAATTAACCCAATCTATTAATTATTTTTCCTTATATTCCTCTTAGTGCTTTACCTAACAACAAAAATGTGTCTCAGCAATCCAACTTGCTACTGTATAACATGATTCCCTCCCCTTTCGTGTTGCAATGAAATATACTCTAGTTTATCCCTATCTCCATCCTATATATTGCCCTTACTACCTTACTCCAAAGTCCATCTCTGTATTCAAACAAGCTATATTTTATACCTTTCGAAAGAAACACACCCTTTATACTAAGTGCATAGCATAAACAATTAGAACTAAACCCTTAATTTACTTCTCTTCAAAAATGTTAATAAATAAATAAACAGAAGCTATCGGTTAACCCCTCAACCTATTTTCTTGTATTTATATAAGTGGGTGAATCCCCGCACATGACAGAAAAATCTCATTACAGAGCAAAAAAAACATGCTAAATTAAACCTTATTTTCCAACCACTTTGTAGTCTTCTTGAGTGAAACAATATACATATAAGCCCATCTCTCACTGGTATTTCATATTATTTTCCCTTAAGCGAGGAATAGCTAAGATCCCACATTTAGTTCAACCACACCATATTTTATACAGAAAAAAAAAAAATTAAATAACTTCCTATGTGCTCTATGTTCTCTTTAAAAATCAAATTTAAACCTTTATAGTGCTATTTCTAAATTTCCCCAAAAGAGCTCGAATTTGATTGTAAGCATATTAAACCTTTTCCATTTTAAATATAATAATGACAAAAAAAAAAAGGGGTTATCACCTTACTTATTCCAATTCTATGCATTATTAAACCAGATTATTCAACCAATTTGTGACCTTCTCATGTGAGTCAAAATTGTGCGTATTCCCATCTTTAGTAACTATAAATTTGGTTGGCAAGCCCCACCTATATTTTAGATTATTTTCCCTTAAGCGCAAAGTAGCTGGCAGAAATTGTCTCCTCGCTTTTCTTGTCTGGAAAGACAAATCTGGGAAGACCTTTATATTATTAAATTTGCCTTGATCTCTTTCCATTAGTCTTGCCGCTTTTAGAATTTTTTCTCTAAAAGAATAGGGGTGACAAGCGATGATTGTATCTCTTGGGAGGTCAGCTGGAAGTGTTCTTGGTTTGTACAGTCGATGTGTTCTTTCAAGAAAGTCCACTTTATCCTCAATATTTATTTTAAGAACTTTAAAAAACTCAGAGTGGTAAATTGCCAAATTATCTTGTGAGATGGATTCAGGGATGTTTCTTATTCTCAAGTTATTTATTCTACCTCTGTCTTCTATATTTATGGTTCTCTCTTCAAGATCATTTATCTTCGTTTGTTGTTTTTCAATAATCTCACTTTGCTTCTGTAGAAGAAATTCTAGATTTTCTATTTTTTGTTCGTTGACTTTAACTTTTTGTCCTATCTCCAGTATATCTTTCTTTAGAGTTGCAAAGCTCCCCTGCATTTCTATTTTTATTTGTTCCAGTTGTAGATCTAAACATTCTTTTAAGTACACTGGGGTGACCATTTGTCGTTCATCTGAGCGTTCCTTTACCTCAGTATCGCTGAAGTCTGCAGTTTCCTTACTTAAGGCAGCTTTGTTTGGTGTTGATATATGAGAATTTTCTAAGGTACTTTTATCTGCTGGGGCATTAAAAAAATTTGAAAGTCTCTTTTCCTGTTTATCTTTTTTTTCCTGGTCTTTTTTGGGTGGAGGTTTCAAATCCTGCCTTTGATCAGCTGTTTTCCTTGTTGCCATTTTTTTTTTTGGTCCGATTTTCCTCTATTTTAACACTTTTTTTTGGGAAGCTACGTTTATCAGAAGTACCCAATCTGACGTTTCTAGTTTTTACCACTTTTAAGGAGGTGTTAAATTCTTTCAAATTCTTTAACTCTTTCCTTCTTGCTTCTTATCCTCCTTTCCTTCTTTCTCTGTTTTCTTTACTCAGTTCTGTTTATACACCGCTTGGCTTCTCCTCTTGCGGCTTCACCACTTCAGTGCTATCAGAGCTGATTATTGAGCAGTGTATATCTATATATTTTATTTTTAATTTTTTTTCAACTTCTCTACTTCATTACCTAAAAAGATTTTTTTAAAACTTTTCCCTTTTCTTTTTCTTTTCCTTACTCCTTTCTTTCTCTTTTTTCTCTTAATATTTACAGCTGCTTCAATTTTAACCCCTTCGGAACTAAATATTAAACAGTTAAACAGTTGAGCAATTTTTCCTTTTTTTTTTCTTTTCCCTTCCTTCCTTCTTTCCTCCGGGCTTTAAATCATGCTTTTTAAATGCCTTATTTTGTTGCCTTATTTAGTTTCAGTTTCCCAGCCTGTTGCTCCAACGCTCACCTCCTTCCGGGTATAAGCTTTCAATCTGCTCACAGCTATATCATAGAACACTGCACCTCCAACACTCCACCTCAGGGTTCTTAGAAGACCGAGAGACAACTTTCTCTCCTAGGTACCTTTGAGGGTTCAGCCGGCATAATGGTGGGAGCAGATACTCAGATATTCAATCGGGCAGCGACTCCTTCTTTCCCGAGTGGGACTCCAGCTCAGCTCTGTAGGGCAGCTATACGCTACGCTCCCTGCGTGACATCACATCATCACGCACCCCCCCAAGGTTCTCCATATGACCATTTCTAATCCGCAACACTTCATAGACAAGTTCGGAAATCTATTTGGGTTCCAAATATATGGAACAGGGTTAGATCCTGGGGCTATTATATATGTAGGCATTGAAACGGAGACAGTAGCAACTCAGACTCATCAGGTTTTTCATTCCTTCTATGAGGAGATGAGTATTGAGGATAAAATTCCCCATAATGTTAAGAACCTATTCGTAGATTTAGCCGAGAGTATTGCGGGTAGTCTTAATGTAACTAACTTTTGTATGTGGAGGTACTAATATGGGAGACCAGTGGCCATGGGAAGCAAAGGAAGCATGGTACCCTGGTTCTGAGACAGATGAACAACAGATACTTTCTCATTCTGATCATCAAGTAAGTATTAGAGGTAAATCAGAATGGCGGTTAAAGACCTCTATTATAGGTCATGTTTGTGTAGCTAGGAAAGGGACAATGTATAACACGTCTGCAGGTGAGTTAACATGTTTGGGACAAAAGGCTTATAATGATAATACAAAAGATACTACTTGGTGGCAGGGCCGGATTAACATAGGGGCTGATGGAGCTGCAGCTCCAGGCACAGGCCCATGGAATAGGCCCATTGATTTTAAAACCCCCCCCCCTTTTTTTTTTTTTTAACATTTATTTTTTTCACACACTACTCTTAGGGATTCCACCTGGCTTTCATTTTATTGCCACAGCCAGTATTTGAGGCGGTGCTGGTATTGCAGTGATACTGGCAATACAAATGCTGGTATTTTTATCAGTATAAAAGAGATTACTCCGCAATACCAGCACTGGCCAGTAGGGGTCGCTGTGTGTGGAGAGAGGCAGGGATAGGAAGTTCCAGCATATCCCTCCCTGCCTATCTATACTCACTGATCTGCAGGGGTGCAGCTACAGAGAGTCCAGACAGCAACTACCACCCTGCAGAGACAGCCTACAGCTCAGGGAAGTAAGGGATGGGGGGACAGGCTGCAAGAATACATATACTGAGACACTAAGGGACATTGGGAGACATTATGGCAGACACTGAGACACTAAGGGACATTGGGAGACATTATGATAGACACTGAGACACTAAGGGACACTGGGAGACATTATGGCAGACACTAAGGGACACTGGGAGACATTATGGCAGACACTGAGACACTAAGGGGCACTGGGAGACATTATGGCAGATACTGAGGCACTAAGGGACACTGGGAGACATTATGGCAGACACTGGGACACTAAGGGACACTGGGAGACATTATGGCAGTATGGCAGACACTGAGAAACTAAGGGACATTGGGAGATACTATGACACAGACACATGGGGACACAGTGTCCCCATGTCTCCCAGCCAGTGTCCCTGGTGTATTAGTGCCCCCTAGTCTCCCAGTGACCCCTAGTCTCCCAGTGTCTCACTGTCCCCATGTCTTCTAGTGCCTCCATGTCTCTTTAATTGCCTCAAGTGTCACAATGTCCCCATGTCTCCAAGCTAGTGTCCCTAGTGTCTGTGGCCCTGCTGTCTCTGTGTCCCCATGTCTCCCAGTACCCCATGTCTCAATGTCCCCATATCCCCCAGCCAGTGTCTCTAGTGTCTGTATACCCATGTCTTCAAGTGTCCCCTATTTTCCCATTGTCCCCATGTGTCCCAGCCAGAGTCCCCTAGTCTCCCAGTGTCACTGGTGTCTCCATGTCCCTAGGTCTCCCTGTGTCCCTAGGTCTACCTGTGTCCCCAGGTCTCCCCTTCTTCCTAGAGTCCTAGTGACATGGGGACCTTGGGATACATGGGGACACAGGGAGACATGGGGCATTGAGACACTGTGATACATAGGATCACTGGGAGACCTGGGGACACGACACTAGGGGACACTGGTAGACATGGGGCACTGAGACACTGATACATAGGAACACTGAGACCTGGAGTAATCGACACATGGGGGCACTGAGTCATGAGGGCACTGGCAGACATGGGGGCACTGGGAGGAATCCATCTATACAGCAGAATCAAACTAAGTAGTTTTTGGGTGATTTTACAGCATTTTCTCTTATGTCACTCCTTGTGATTTACATCATGTGATGTCACCCATACATATTTAATTATGCAAATTAGTAAGGCCGGTATGTTTTTCCAAGAAAGGTGGCAACCCTAACTACTTTTCACATACTCTTACTTAAGTATGGAAACTTAAGTGGGATGTATGGGAACAAAACTTGTGTGGACTGGCTGACAATGAATATAGTTAAAGGGACACTATAGTCACCAGAACAACTACAGCTTATTGAATTTGTTCTGGTGAGTAGAATCATTACCGTCAGGCTTTTTGCTGTAAACACTGTCTTTTCAGAGAAAATGCAGTGTTTACATTACATCCTAGTGATAACTTCACTGGCCACTCCTTAGATGACTGTTAGAGATCCTTCCTGGGTCATGGCTGCCTAAAATGCATCCAAACATTCAGTGTCTCCTCCCTCTGCATGCAGACACTGAACTTTCCTCATAGAGATATGGGGAAGCACTGTGATTGGATCAGGCCACCACTTCTAATGATGTCAGCAGACTGCTTGTTTTTATGAGTCTAACAGCATGCAGAGTTACAGCTTCAGGCTTGAATATAGATTTTGCTATATTTATGGAGGCATGAGAGGTCCAGGGGGGGGCTAGATGGTGATGTTAACACTATAGGGTCATGAATTCATGTTTGTGTTCCTGACCCTATAGTGATCCTTTAAGGTAATGCTGACTTTGGTCTCTCTAACACTGTTGCATGTTCACTTTCTTCTACACTCACTACATACAGCTTTTCTCTGTCCAAGACCATATACCAGGAGCTTCTGCCTGCTAGTAAGAAGGTAAGGAGACAAGTGGACCAGCGAGTGCTAGGGGACAGTCCTTAGAAAGCACTGAGTGAGCGCATCATTAGATGCATTTATGCCAAGCTCAGGGTGCTGTCTGCATAGTATGCCCTTAGTTGGCCAGCTGCATGATTGGCAGGCAACCTGACATGCATTCATGTCAGGCTGGCCTAATTCTTTGAGCAGACATGTCCTCTTTTTGGGCATGTTTACCCGTTTTGGCAGGTTACGTGATTTGTGTCAGTGGCAAACCCTTTTACCGTGCCCATTGACTTCCTGCTTGATTGGACGTTGCTGTTAGGGGTTATGGATTTACTTGAAAGCTGAAAACATAAATTAGAGAGAGATTAGCCTAGGGTATGTGTTTTCTTATAGCTGCTGTTTTCTTTCTCTCCAGCACCATCTCCATCAGATACATGATGATTGGGAGTGTTTTACTGTTTTTGGTCAATATGATTCTGTAATTAGGCCCGTCATAATTGTCAGCACCAGGCACACTGAGCTCTTAATCTGGCCCTGCTTGGTGGTCAGCTTCAAATGTCTCGGAACCTACTAATCCGTTTGCCAATTACACTAATTTGAAAGAGGTATGGTTTGATTTATCTGCTACATCCAATTGGAAAGCCCCAGAAAATCTATACTGGATTTGTGGTAATAAGGCATATTCAGAGTTACCACAAAACTGGGAATGGGCATGTGTACTAGGTATGCTCAAACCATCCTTCTTCTTGTTGCCAATCAAAACAGGAGAGACCTTGGGAGTTAAGGTTTATGATGTAAATCATAAAAAGAAGCGAACATCTTTGAATATAGGTAGCTGGGAAGATGATGAGTGACCTCCCAATGTATTATTAATTATTATAGACCGGCTACTTGGGCAGAAGATGGTACTTATAGATATAGAACCCCAATATATATGCTCAACCGTATTATAAAACTACAGGCGGTGGTTGAGATTATCACCAATGAGACAGCACAAGCGCTCAATCTCTTAGCTAAACATAATACTCTATTGAGATCAGCCATCTATCAAAATAGATTAGCTCTGGACTACTTATTAGCAGTAGAGGGATGTGTATGCGGGAAGTTTAATCTAAGCAACTGTTGTCTGCACATAGATGATGTGGCTGAACTTACCAGTCACATGGCAGTGGCTGAACTTACCAGTCACATGGTTAAACTTGCGCATGTACCTACTCAGGTCTGGAGTGGGTATAACCCAAGTAGTTGGTTTGGAAGTTGGTATGAGCAGCTTGGAGGGATTAAGGCATTAGTAGGAGGAGTAGTATTTATTATATTTCTATGTCTCTTTCTGTCCTGCTTAATTCCATTAGTGGTTAGGTCCATACGAAGTGTTATAGAAAGCACTATTGAGAGGAAGACAGCTGCCCATGTAATGGCTGTCTGTAGATATGAACCTTTAGCCCAAAGAGCGCGTATTCAGGATGGGGAATGCTGAAAGAATATGCTAAAGATGCTTACGAGGTCTGTTCTGGTTCATGGCTACTTGAGAGGTGTTGGCAAATTATGATTGATTGATTGATGTATCTGGAATTATTTTATATCAGAAGCATCAAAGGGGGGAATGTGATGGAATTACAGTAAAATAGAAGTTTAGTGGGCCAAGATTGCCACGTGGCATATGTAGGTACATGTGTTTGTAGTATCAATTAGTTAGTTACACGTAGCTAAGATACTGTCATCAATGTACTGAGCATGTGCAGGAATGTAGGAACTGAAATCACACTTTGTTTCGGATGAGCCATGTGGTCAGACCGGATGAGCAAGTCCAGACTCTGTTTATTGATTGGTTAAGGGTATGTGTGGGTGTAGCTATTTATGGGAGGAGCTATATTGCTATATAAGGAATGTACTCCATGTGTTCTGGGCTCAGATCTGTTGTGGAACGTTAGTCCATCTGAGATCCGATCGGTACGTGAATAAAGGCCTCTTACTTCCTGAATACCTGTGTCCATATTTCTATGTGTGGCTTCTGCGGTTTGTTCCTGTTATTCCTCCGGTAACAATACCACCAATGCCTTATCTATAGAGCATTGTATCCTGCTCTAGACTTGTGAGTATAATTGTATCTTATACTGTATTTTATCATATTGAGAGCACTATTGGTGCCTTTTGTTAGTTGTTAGTATGTGTGTCTGTTAGTGAGTGTGTATGTGTGATTGTTAGTGAGAGTGTGTGTGTCTGTCAGTGAGTATGTATATCTTTTAGCTAGTGTATGTGTGTCTGACACTGAGTGTGTATGTGTATTTAGAAGGGCAGGGGGGGGAAGTGCCTGAGTTTTTTCATGCCTAGGGCAGCACAAAACCATGATACACCACTGGGCCTGATGCCTTAGATGCATTCATTAACATGGAGCTAGCAGGAATAACATGCCAGCACAATAACAGGGGCAAACACCCCAAACACAGTAGGTAAGCACGGGTAGATCTGTACATATTGTTCATACTGCACAGTGTGACCAATCTTTGTAAATAGGCTATACCTTTCATTGAACTGTAACTAACTGATTCAGACGGTACATACATGTTTCAAATGAGCTGAAAAGATTTAATTGTCTAGCCAAGCCGAAGGAGCACTACTGTGGTTCTTGACGGTGTTTAGAAAAAAAAAGGTGTTAGAGACACATGTCACATGTTATTAATGATGTATTGACATTTGGCTCTTTCAGTACAATGTTACCCCTTCCCCCTTTTTCTTTTCTGTATCCCATTTAACATGTTTTACTTTTTGGAAAACAATAAAAATTGTCAATTAAAAAAAAAAAAATGTAGCCTATGGAGCATTAAATTGGAGGAGCTTCACTAATGTCCTTCAAACATGGACAAGCCCCACCCCAATTGCACCACTTTTTGTACTTTAGACCATCTTTAAAACAGAATACTTTGATAAATCTAACCCAATAAGCTCTGATAAAACTAGGTAACCGTTAACTGAAGAGATTGCATTGATAATTTAGATAGAATGGAAGAGTAGGATAAGAAGATAGATGAAAGCTTGGGTCTAAAAAATTATCTCCATCCTATATAATTTTTATTTAATTTTTTAAGTAAAAATGAAAGAATCAGTGGAGAAGATAGCAATTTCTTTCAGATTCTCAATAACTTCCAAATTTCTATTTTTATCTATCACAAATATTTAGAGAATGCAATTGTTTTCACAAAATGTTTTCCAGAGGCATGGCATTGTTCCCTCACCATGTTTCTTAGCTGTTTATGTAACGATACACTTGCAAAATAATATTCTAAACCTTACTCCTTCCCACCCTCCCCTGGGTCATTAGTTTAAATAGTTCACTTAAGCTACTGCCAGGATCCTGGGGTTTTCAAACAAAACAGCAAGATTATCCACAGTAATATCCTGTTGGTATGTCTGTAAAACATCAATCGCTGGAAGGGTAGTACAGGAATGGAATGCTGGTTTCCTGCAGCTTCCTTTTAACTGGCAAAATACAGTGGTGTCTCCAGAATTCATATTTAGGGAGGGCACATGGGGGTCCAGGGACAAAAGTATGGGGGCAATTCTAAAATGTGTATACAGTCATGGGAAAAAGAAAGTACACCCTCTTTGAATTTTATGGTTTTACAGATCAGGACATAACAACAATAATCTGTTCCTTAGCATGTCTTAAAATTAGGTAAATACAACCTCAGATGAACAGCAACACATGACATATTACACCATGTCATGATTTATTTCACAAAAATAAATCCAAAATTGAGAAGCCCTTGTTATAGGAGGATTCTGAAGAAGCCATGCACAGAGAGTCTGGACACGGGTAAGTTCAGGAAGCAAAGGTCTTTATTCTCACCGATCGGGTCTCAGCTGAACTCATTTTCAAAATGTCTGAGCACTGAGCACATAGAGTACAGGCTCTTTATAGACTATACATCCCCCATCTGTACCCTTACACCAATCAGCAAACCGCATTTACAGCATTTCCTTATATGGATAGGCAGTATGGCACTTGAGGAGAATGGTATGTGTTTTTTCAAATGCAGCACATGCTCAGTACATTGATGACAGTAACTAACAGATACCTGTACTTGTATATGCACATGGAGATTTTAGGTCTACAAAATTTTGGGCCTAGCTGAAATCCCATCACAGTCCCCCCTTTGATGCTTCTAAAACTGAGTACTCCAGATGCATCACTTACCATACTTTGCCAATACCACTCAGGTAATTACAAAACAGGAGAGACCTGTGAGCATTCTAGCTGAATCTTATGAATTCTCAGAACTCATTGACCTGATTACAAATTATTTCTCTTTGGGCTAGAGGTTCATATCTCCAGATGGCCATTACGTGAGCTGCTGTCTTCCTTTCTATAGTGCTCTCAATAACACTACGTATGGACCGAATTATTAATGGAATCAAGCAGGGTAGTAAGAGGCATAAGATAATAAATACCACTCCTCCTACCAGTGCTTTTAACTCTCCAAACTGTTTGTAACCAGCTTCCAAACCAACTGCCTGGATTATACCCGTTCCAGATCTGAGTAGGTATCTGCATTAATTTAACCATGTGGCTAGTAAGGTCAACCACAGCTTATATGCAGACAGCGATTACTAAGATAACATTTTCTGCACACACCTCCTTCTACCGCTAATAAATAGTGAAGGATCAGCCAATTTTGGTAAATGGCTGACCTCATACGGGTATTCTGTTTTGTCAGGAGGTTAAGTACGTCAGCTGTCTCATTGGTTATGATCTCAACCACCGCCTGTAATCTTATGATGTGGTTGAGCATGTATATGGGGGTTCGATAACCATAAGTACCATCTTTAGCCCAATTAGCAGGTCCATAGTAATTAATTCGCTGGGATGGCCATTCATCATCTTCCCAATTACCTATATTTAATGGTACTTGCTTCTTCCTGTGGTTTACATCATAGACCTTAACTCCCAAGGTCTCTCCTGTTTGGATTAGTAACAAGAAGAAGGATGGTTTGAGCACACATGCCCCTGCCCAATCTTTTAAATATGCCTTCTTACCACAAATCCAGTATACATTTTCTGGGGCTCTCCGGTTAGATGTAGCTGATAGATCAAACCATACCTCTCTTAAATTGGTGTAAATAACAAAAGGATTTTTAGGCCCTGATACATTTTAAGCTGACCACCAGGTAGTATTATGGCTACTAGCATTATCTGCTTTCTGCCCTAGACAAGTCAACTCGCCTACAGGTGTGTTATACATTGGGCCTGCCCTATCTAAGCATGCATGACCGATTACTGATGTTTTTAATTGCCAATCTGATTTTTCCCGTATGGTTGCTTGATTACTGGAGTGGGAAGGCATATTCCATACCATACTTCTCTCACTTTCCATGGCCATTGGTCTCCCATATTTGTACCTCCACATACAAAGCAGTTAGTTATATTAAGACTACTTGCAATACTTTCAACCAGATCGATGAACAGGTTTTTAACACTAATCTACTCATAAAAAGAATGGAATACCTGATGAGTTTGGGCATTCAGGGTCTCGATTTCAAGGCCTTTATATAGAATGGCTCCTGGGTCTGTCCCTGTACCATATATTTGGAAACCAAAAAGATTCCTAAATTGATTAATACATTGCTGTGGGTTAGTTGTCATGTGACAGAATTACACTCTATTGATTTCCAATGAGTAGTAGTAGGTAACCTCTGAATTATCAGGTCTTTGTCTACTGTTTTTCCCCAGGTCGCCCAACCTACACATGACCAGTATGGGCAAAAGTTGAAGTCCCTATTTGGACAATCGGGGTCAGTGGTTCTTCTACTAGTGCATAGGTATTTATTATTAAATCCATAGGTTCGTTCCCACTTAAGATTACCATATATGTTCCAAGGTTTTCCATTACCAGAAATTGCTTTGCATGCATCAAATAGTAGGAGGTGGTACTTAACAAAGTTTTATTTATCAATACCCCCTGAGAGTAAGCATTTCGAAGAACCAGCCAGATTGTATGGGGTTGGAATTGGGGATCAAAGCACTTGGGTTCATCTGAAACTGGCTGACACACACTATAATCAATGTCTAAGTATCTGCATTTAGACACAGATCCTTTATATAATGTGAGTGCCAAATAAAAAAGAGTTTGGGATGTCTGGTTACCTGTTTTTGTAGTCACCATTGTCCATTATCTGCTGGGGGGCTCAAGGCAGCTGCCCTGTTTGCTCTCTACCCGCAACAATGTCTTTTGGAGTCGCCGATCCCAAAATAAATTGTTGTGGGCAGCGGGCCCGCACACTATGGGGGCCCATCGGGTGGCCCATGCACTTAGGGCCAACCAGTGGACCTGTGTCAGCAGGGTCCTGTCGGGCGCCGTGGCGCTTTAACTGCGCGACCAGGCCCCTTGCTTTTCGGCAGCCGGCAGTGAGGAAGTTTCAGCCATGCGGGAGGACAGGAGGAAGGAGGACCAGCTGTTCCGGAGGGGGCCAAGCTGGGAGAGAGTGAGAGCTTAACTCCCAGCCACCCCAGCCAGCTCACTGGACCCCAGGGAAGCCACCCTCCAGGAAAAGGTAAGAAACTGGAGGTTGGTTATCAAATTTTGCATGAGTGTCTGAGTGTGTGTATATCAGTTTGTATGTATGTGTTTCAGTATGTCTGTGTGTGTGTATGATTCTGTCAGTGTCTGTGTGGTTCAGTATGTCTGTCTGCATCTTAATATGTCTGTATGTGTGTATGTCTGTCAGTGTCTGTGTGTATGTGTGTTTCAGTATGTCTGTCTGTTTGTATGTGTGCCAGAATATCTGTCAGTATGTGAGTATGTCTGTGTGTGTATGTGTGTTTCAGTATAACTGTCTGTGTGTGTCAATATGTCTGTATATGTGTATGTCTGTCAGTGTCTGTGTTTGTGTGTGTTTCAGTATGTCAGTCTGTCTGTCTGTGTGTATGTGTGCCAGTATGTATGTGTGTGTGAGTCTGTCAGTGTCTGTGTGGTTCATTATGGCTGTCTGTGTGTGTCAATATGTCTGTATGTGTGTATGTCTGTCAGTGTCTGTGTGTATATGTGTTTCAGTATGTCTGTCTGTATGTGTGTATGTCTGTCAGTGTCTGTGTGTATATGTGTTTCAGTATGTCTGTCCTTCTGTGTGTGTGTGCCAGTTTGTCTGTTAATGTGTATGTGTGCCAGTGTGTCTGTCTGGGTGTATGTGTGCCAGTATGTATGTGTGTTTGTGAGTCTGTCTGTGTATGTGTGTTTTAGTATGGCTGTCTGTGAGTCTGTCTGTCAGTGTCTGTGTGTTTCAGTATGTCGCTCTGTCTGGGTGTATGTGTGCCAGTATGTCTGTGTGAGTCTGTCAGTTTCTGTGTGGTTCAGTATGTCTGTGTGTATGTGTGTTTCAGTATGGCTGTCTGTGTGTGTCTCTGTGTCAGTATGTGTCTGTGTATCTGTATGTTGTCCGTATGTGTTTGTGTCAGTGTGTATATATGTGTGTGTATCTGTATATAGTCAGTTTGTGTATCTGTATGTGTGTCAGTGTTTGTATCTGTATATCTGCATGTGTCAGGTTGTGTATCTGTGTGTCTGTATGTGTGTCAGTGTGTGTGTCGGTGTATCTATATGTAGTCAGTGTGTGTACCTTTGTATCTGCATGTGTGTCAGGTTGTGTATCTGTGTGTGTGTCTGTGTGTCAGCGTGTGTGTCAGTGTATCTATATATAGTCTGTGCGTATCTGTATGTTCTTGTTGTGTGTATGTGTGTATATGCGGTCAGTGTGTATCTGCATGTGTGTCAAGTAGTGTATTTGTGTGTCTGTTTGTGTGTATCTATATGTAGTCAGTGTATATATCTTTGTATCTGCGTGTGTGTATTTGTATGCATTGTATGTTCTCATTGTATGTATGTGTGTATCTATATGCCGTCAGTGTGTATCTGTGTATCTGCATGTGTCAGTGTGTGTATCTGTGTGCCATTGTTTGTATCGGTTTGTCTGTGTATCTGAATGTGTGTCAGTGATGGTATCTGTGTGTCTATGTATCTGTATGTGTGTATCTGTATATTCTCATTGTGTCTATCAGTGTATCTATATGTAGTCAGTGTGTGTATCTTTGTATCGGCATGTGTGTCAGTGTGTATCTGTATGTTCTCATTGTGTGTATCTATATGCGATCAGTGTGTATATGTGTAACTGCATTTGTCAGTGTATGTATATGTGTATCATTGTTTGTATCTGTCTGTCTGTGTATCTGTATGTGTGTCAGTGTGTTTCTGTATGTTCTCATTGTGTGTATCTGTGTATCTATATGTAGTCAGTGTGTGTATATGTGTGCCTGTGTATCTGCATGTGTCAGTTTGTGTATCTGTCTGCATGGGTGTCAGTGTGTGTATCCATGTGTAGTCAGTGTGTGTTATTGTTTGTATCTGTGTATCTGCATGTGTGTTTCAGGTTGTGTATATGTGTTAGTCTGTGTATCTGTATATATGCATGTGTATCGCAGTGTATGTGTAGATGTGCATACATCTCAGTATTCAAACACAATTCCAAGATTTTACTATTAACATGACGTAAAGTTTTTATTTTATTATCCTCAGCAACAAAGAGAAAATATAACTGAAAGAGAAAATATGTAATATGAATAATATATAACAGATACAACCAGATCTGCCTAGTAACAGGGCAGCCAATCAGCTTATAGGAACATAAATGTCTTGCTGTGTACTTCCACTTCCTCTTCTTTACCTTCTGAACCGAAGACCCAACAACTGAATAAATATCCACCTAAGGAACAAACAATTGCCAACATGGTAAACATCATCACAACGAAATCAGGCTGTAAAGACAGAGAAATAGGTGGTAAAATCCAAACTCCGGATCTGTATGTAATATACCATGACAATTCGTTTTATATATAACAATAGAAAATATTGAGTATAACATATATACCAGTATAAAGACCATACCGTATCCCAGAACATCAAACAAAATCATGGACACTTACCGCAAGGTAGAAGGTCTTCTGGATTGAACCAAAATTGTGGGCCCAACACATACTCCGTGTCATTAATAAAATCATGACTTTACGTCATGTTAATAGTAAAATCTTGGAATTTTATTAATGACACGGAGGCTCCTATTATGCTAGTTCAAAGCTGAGCAACAACTAATGAAGAAACATGGTCAATCGGGCGGAAATAGAAGTCACGGAACGTAGATTCACTAGACCAATCCGCCGCTTTCAAAATATCATCCACGCGACAACCCATCTTAGAGGCTTTGGATGCCATGGCGCCTCTGACTGAATGAGCTGAAAAAAAATTTATGTATCAATCCCCGCAGCGGAAAGGAGATTCTTAACCCAACGAGCCAACGTAGTCGAGGAGACCGGTAGGAACGGCGTCCTAAAGAAAATAAACAGCTGGGACAAGTCCAATGACCTCAACTGTTGAGTGAGATCCAAGTAAACCCGGAGGCAAGCCACCGGACACAGAGCAGGACAGACTGAACACCTCGGG